AAGTTGCCAATCAGCCTGGAAAAAGCATCTCGACGATGAGTCGCTCGCCTGGAGTAATGCAGGAGTGGAGTGGATCGAGGACCTTGAGACCGTCTAGCCAGGCTGGAGATGGATGTCGTGCGATGGGACGTGGGTGCGACGTCGTTCGTCGTTGCGGATGGCTGTTCGTGGTCGCCGCGTGGACGGGGTCGCAATGTCCTGTTGTACATGAGAGAACGTAGCGTAGTAAAAAAAAAGAAAATTATTATTTTTGACATCGAGCGCCAAAATATTCGATTTCTTGTACGCGACCGTTGGCACTTTCCGTGTCGCCGCCGACGATGTCCCCGCAACGGATGGCCATCTCGTCGTTGCTCTGCCCAGACGACCACCCCAGACCTGCGCACGAGCCAGGTCGAGCGAGACACGCCGAGAAACCCCGCACGATCGACGCTCTCCTCCACCCTGCACCGGGGCCAGTCCCAGTCCCAGTCCCGGTCACAGTCCCGGCTCCGACGCCGTCGTCCCACCCCACGGCGCCGACGATGTCCCAGCACCGGGCCATGTCTTCCTCGTCCTTCTCCTGCTCGCCGACCGACTCCGTCCGACACTCGTTCCCATCTCCCCGCTACTCCCCGCTCCAGTCCGCCCGCCCACCCTTCGCCGGACTGCAGGCACTCGTCCATGTTGCCTCCGAAGAACATCGCCGCATCAGCACCCTCGACAGAGAACGAGACTACCTCAGACACCCCGACGTCGACTACCACCACCACCACTACCGCCCCCACAAGCGTTCACGGGCCTCGCGTTCCCCTTCCCCGTCTCGCACCGCTGCGTCCCCCAACACAGACGCACTGCCCGCCACTCCCCCGCCCTTCCAGTCCCCACGCGGTCACTCGGCTAGCACCAGTGGGGGCTCCCAACACAGACTCGACTCGCAATACTCCCACTCCTACGGCGTGCATTCCCCCAGTCGTGTGGCACACCCGACCAGCACTCTCTCGCCACCCGTGTTGCACCCCCAAAGCTCTCCCCTTTCTCACACTCTCCCATCGCCGTCACGACATCCACAGCTGCACTCGTTACTATCACGCCCACAAACACCTCCACAGCCGACGCGACATCTTCCGTTGCATCGTGACTGTAGCACGCCGTCCAGCAACAGCATCAGCGCACCGAGAATGGCCGGAGGTATTTCGCTGCTAAGAGATGATGTACCACCACGGGCAGTCGAGATATCGCGACATCAGGAACACAGGACCCCACCTCCGTACTTGCAAGTGCAAGCACATCTGCCAGTGCAATCCCCTATCCCACGACTGCCAACTGCACCGTGGCATGTCCGACAGGACACCCCACCAATAGAACGATCCTCCTCCAGCAGTCAGAAGAACAAGCCAACTCAGTTCCAACAACCTCCTTGGGTCGCTCACTTGCCCACAGTATCTCCAGCCCTCGACTCAAACCATGCCGTCGAACCACTCCCACACCCTGGGTCTCCACATGTGGATCAAGCTGACATTCCTCTAATGCAGCAGCAGTCAGTGGAAGACAAACCCCCTGCAGACCAGGACACGTCGTTATCATGCCCGTGTACGGTCAACAGTGAGGTCTCTATCGAGGCAAATATTTCGACTGATATCAAGGGTACACAAGAAAATGCGCGCTCATTGGACCAATCTACAACGACGACCCAATTTGCGCAACGCTGGCCCACCCCACGTTCAGAATCACCTATTTCCCCCTCGTCTTTACCAGAGCAGAGGGACGTCCCTCTGCCAGTGGAAATCTTGACCAACTCTCTACCCCGAGAATGTCTTCCGGTTGCATCAGTACCCGCGTCTCCACAGTCGGAAGGAGCGGTGCCAGAGCAGACATCCTCTCATCCGTCGTCCATGACATCACCCCGCCCAACGTTGTCACCCCGACCGCATACCGTTCAGCGTGAGGCAACCAACCAGGAGTGTACTCAAGTTGACGAGCCCGAAACCGAACTTTCGCACTCTCTTGTACTTGTGAAGAATGAAAAGGTGGAAGAAGGACATGCTGATCTCCCTTCCGAACAGATGGTAGTCGATGACTCCATTGTTCAGAAACCCCGACCCCAGTCGGAATCTGCGTTAAAAGTCGTCGGTCCGGTCACTCCAGTTGTTTCACCAGCAATTCAGCACTCTCACCCCGACTTGAGTGTCAAGCTCGAGGGTGAAGGGGCAGGCGGTCCTCAAATCTCGCAGCCTTCAATGAGTCGGGGGAGTTCTCCGACACCGTCCACATTCATCAAAGCAGAGTCTCATCACGACGCCGAGAACGTTGATATTCTTTTACCCATCTCGTCTCCGCCCGAGGCAGATTATAGGCCTGCAGAAAGTTTTCAAGGCAGTCATGACGTAGTTGGTATGGACATCGACGTCGATGAGGAACTTTTGAGCCTTGTCGAAGACCGGCCTCCCGCACATCGCGTGCGACCCTCTAGTGTGACCGCACGGGCTCCAAGGGCAAGCGAAGATCCAGGGCAGGGACGACTTACGTCGCAGGCAGATGAGGAATTGGGGTCAGCATTCCCCCCCATCCAGCGCATGAAGAAGGGTGAGAAGGGTGCTTCTGCGACTGCGGCCAAGAAGAGGAAGCAGGAAACCGCTGGCAAGGTACGTTCCTTTTTTCGCTGACGATCGCATCGTATACCGAATCTTGTTCGAATTGACGTCGTAGCCTCCTGCTAGGGCCAAGCAGCCTCAAAAGTCTAGGGCTAAACCTGCTGCGAAAACCAAGGCGAAACTCGGAATTGAAGAGCCCAGGGACATCTCCAAGAGTATCCCCAAGCTTGTGGGTGTCGATTCCAGGTCGCGTTCCACGTCTGTTCTGCCAGCGAACGATTCCAAGGAAGGCGGTGCACCAGCCCGCCAAGTGGAGGAAAGCGATAAAGAGGACGACAAGTTATATTGTGTTTGCAAGACCGGGTACGACGAAGATCGAGTGATGATTGCGTGTGATAAGTGCGTGGCTGGATTGCGCTTTCCCTTCCGAATATGCCGACGTGGTCATATAGATGTGACGAGTGGTATCATACACAGTGTGTCAATATGCCTGATCTCGAAATCGACTTGGTGGATCAATTCACTTGTCCGCCGTGCGTGAAAAGTGAGTTTTGGACTGTGTGCTCGATTTCCGCCGCAATAACATTCACCTCTAGAGAATCCACAACTCCGTACAACTTGGAAACGACGTTGTTTATATGGTCTTCGACACGAAAATCCCTCCTCACCAAGCGCGTGTCACAAGCCCTGTCGCGGCGCTTATTCCAAGTACTGCTCAGATGAGTGCGGTATTAAGTACATGCAGCTGCGTATTGCACAATGGGAGCCCGACGGCGACAAACGAGATGCGCTTTGGGAAGCAGTCAAGTACGCAGAAAAACGGGAGGGTGTAGTCGTCCGTGTGGATGAAGGCGATGCGAAAGTGCCGGCTGCTGGAGAGGTTCACGTTAACGGTACCCGAGAAAGTCTGCTCGGATTGCCCTCCAAACGCAGAGTTGAATGGGAGGTCAGGCAGCTGACTGCACGTCTTGAGGAGGTCGTGAAGCAACGAGATATGATCAAACTTGATATGGACATGGTGCTATGGCGAGAAAAGCTTGTCACCCTGGCTGCCGAACGTGCGGGGAAAGTGGACGAATGCGGTTGGGACCAGAGGCTTTGCTTCGGAAAAGAGGAGTGGACGGATTTCGGAGCAGAGGTGCTAGACAGCTACGAGGAGAAAACGGACCATGGAAACGACGCCATGCACGTCGACGACACGTCAAACCTCGGAGAGTGGTGGTGCGCTGGCAAAAAGAAATGCGAGCGCCACGCTGGGTAACCTCTGCTTGTATGTTCTTGGGCTGTATGATTAACTCCATGAGTAGATGGCAGAAACTCCGAATGGCGGAAGTTTCGTTCGAAAAAGAGACGAAAGCAGGGGTACTTGTCAAGCTGACAACCTGTGAACGCGAGATACGCAAACGCATTGAAGACACCCTGTACTCCCGAGTTCACAGTACATCTCAGAAAGCACCTCTCCAGCCAAGTCCAGGACTTGGCCTCAATGGAACCCACAACCCCTAATTGGAGGAAACCGGATAAGAACAGCGACCCGCATCTGTATCCATAGTCATTCTTCGCACATGCTTTTACATGTTGGCCTTGTCACCTTTTTCCTCGTGTCTAACCTCTGTTTTGTAAGCAGATCATGGACGCAAAGGCCCATTTCAGAGGATAGATGAAGTGATACAACTGTTGCTTGTCGTCAATAGCCATCGCCCTCTCCTCCTTCCTTGCAAAACCCCTTTTGTTCATACAACACCCTAGCCTTGCAATCCTCACGAGCTTTCTTATCAGCAATGTCCCTTTTATGATACGGATCGAGCACATTATAATCAACCTGTCGTAATGGGATGTCGTCCTCCTGATCGAGGTCCTGGTGGGAGCGATGTATAAACGAGCGACGGTGACAGACGCCTGTAGACATACAATTTCGCCCAACAGCACCACGTTCTCACCCCTAATCAAAAATAGGCCGTGCCAGTGTTCTGCAAATGCGTTACCATGGTATATTCGCTCTACAGTGTCTTCGAGGACGAGGTTTGCTGTGTGCGGGATGTTGGGGAACGTGAAACCCTGGATGATTGAAGACCCGCGCACCGAACTGATCGTATGAGCGCAACACGCCATGTAATTTTCGACCGTCTCGCAGAACTACGAGCATCTTTCCTAAGCCAAGACACCGTAGTGAAGCAAAACGAACATGGATGACTTGGGGCGAATGAATGACAGGGCAGACGTACTGTCCACGCAATCTACCAGGGCTCCGGAAGTAGTGAATGGGATCAACGAATCCATGGAGGCACAGTGCTGCCACCAGGCAGCCAGACGGTGTAATGAGCGTGGCGATAACGAAAAGTCTAGAGAATTGGTAGAGGAACGACCTGGACGGCCTTCGTGCTTGCAACGGGATGATGTAAAAGAGCCAGGCAGCCTCGTCATCGAGCTGATATGGCCGAGTCGTTAAGGCGAGTGATTTGAATTCACAAACATCACTTGGGCATTGCCCGCGTAGGTTCAAATCCTGCTGTCAGCGAATTTTTTTTTTTTTGGGTTTCTTTGTTTCTTTCTCTCCAAGGCCATGGTGATCGAAACCATATACATTGCTAGGCATGGTCAGCCCACGGTGACCGCTAACCGACCGAGACAGCAGGCATAGCTCACTTGGCATCAGGTTTTAGATCAAACTGGATCGATCCCAACTGGTCGGTGCTACCTGGCAGTCTTAAGTCCTTGCTGAGCTCTGCCGACGAACTCCTGCAGCGGATCCCCAACCGGCCTTCCAAGAGACCATTCCCTGGCGGCGTACGGAGAGGTGACTGCCACAATCTAAACACGCATACAGCGACAGCAGGCGTTCCGTTCACCGCTTTCTCCTCTAGACTCAAGCTCAGGAACTCGCTACATACTTTCAAGCCCTCCCTGCGTCGAAACGCCCCACCGTGGTTTTTTCTTCCCCATACTGTATGTGGTCCCTGACACCTCGTCCATCGACTCGTCTCGGACAACGCATTGCTTGTCTAGATCGTTGCCTTCAAACAGCACTGCCCGTGGCTTCGGCTCTCAATCTGTCAATTCATGTCGAGCATGGTGGGTGTTCTCCCCCAAGGAGTGAGTCTCGAACTCCGAAGGCTGAACACCGAGTGCTCAGGCATCGCGGAATGGTACTCTCCTGTTGCACCAGGGACAGGTCTACATCCCCGTCCAAAAGCTGCGTCCGAACTCAAAGCCTACTTCCCTGAAATTGATCCGTCCTGGTCTTCCATCTGGTATCCCCCTCGAGAGGGTGAGGACGTAGACCAAGTCCATGCTCGTGTCAATGGACTTCTCGAGCTCTTCGTTCCAGAGGTCGAAAGGCATTTCTCCGACAATCACAAATGCATCTTGTTGGTTTCCCATGCAGCTACAGTCATTGCGTTATGCAGGGGTCTCCTGTCCCAGCCCGACATGCCACTCAGGGTAGGCTGTTGCTCCCTCTCCGCGTTTATTCGAAAGCCTGGTGCAGTCGGTATCGTGGGTGCCTGGGAGGCTAAATTGCTGGCAGATGGAAGCCACTTGAAAGATGGCACGGCGCGGGACTGGGGCTTTGAAGATATCCAGATTTCTAATGGAAAGGTGTGCCACGACCCACTGAATGTCGCGGTCTTCTTGATCGGATTGCCCAGGTCATCAACGACATCGGCATCCCTGGTACAGAGTACTTGGCAGACGACACATGTGGTCCGCAAATCCAACGTAGTTCCCTTTGAATTCTCCCGCGCCCGTGGTGGGGAGATTGGGTTCCTATCGACGACACAAGCCACTATTTCCTTTGGAACAAAGTTTAACGGATGCGAGTCCGTTTCTAGATGTACATAATCTATTACAAGAAGAATCCATTGATACACTGTTCTCGTTGTTTACGAGAAAGACACGTATGCGCTGGCGTAGCTTACACTAGAGTCTCTGAGGTTCTGACATTGGTGGCTTTGCTCGTAGCGCACCCATTCAACTTTTGCATGTTTACCATGCTTCTCGAGCTCTAAGAGCGCTCCAAGGAGCACGCCGATCGGATGCCTGCCACAAATCGTATTCCCCGTGCGGTCGAGATAGTCGCAGAACTTTCTATGAGACTGAGCCGCAGACGCTTCTCCCTCCGGCGTTGGGCGAATGGTCAAGATTTCCATAGCCTCATGGTCCAGATCAGAGATAGAGGCGTGGATGGGCCGCTGGGAGAGATTATACTGTTGTACGCAAGAGCTCCTGAGATGCACGCCTGCGACGTCAGTAGGTAGAGGCTCCGGATAGTAAAACGTGTATCGAAACCGAGCACCCCTAAACGACAGTTGGCGTGAGTCTGTGCGAGAATATTTTCCTCACCAGTGGCAAAAGTCGCTAGATATAACGAAGAAATTTTGTGGATCGGCTAGATAAGGAGCCAGAATACGGCCGTAATCGGTTTCCTGTTCTCTGTCAATAGCTCCCACCAATATGGGCACTATCGTGATGTTGCTGCTGCACGGACGCCGTTAGAAAGAGCTGGAGAGAGAAGGGGCGTCTGCTGACTCCTGAAAGACATGACAAATGTATGGTAGATGCATCTCGATGCTGTGTTCGTCTTCGTCCGTGGCTTTAGTCATAGTCTTGAACTTCCCAGTTTTCAATAACTCGTCGCTGACTAGGTGGTATTTCGAGATGATTTTGCGGAAAGCGCAAATGTCCCTCACCCTCTTTATCAATGCGTAGTTTACCCAGGGGCGTCTCATAATAGTCGAATCCGGAAACATCGCATCGCACGAGATAGACGTGATGAGAGGGACCAAGGATGAAGACGCGTTTGCTGTAGATAAGCGTCGGTGAGAGCCCCAGAGCACTAGGACTATACTCACATCCCGGTCGTGTCGATTGCCTTATACGCCCAGGCGGCAGCGGGCCCCGAGTACGAATAGCCAGCGTGTCTGAATGAAAAAGTCGTTAGTCTGTTGGCGATCGCCTGACTGGCACGATGGCAGCGCACGGTCCGATGATCGCTCTGCATCCTGTGATGGGTGGCTCGAACTCCTGCTCTTCCGTGGACTCAACGGCTGCAAGCCATCCGCTCAATTCCTGACCAAGCCGATGACCTGGAGCATGCCTCATTGTATGTTGAGGAATCCTGATGATCCATTGAACACACCGTTTCCTGTGTACCAATAATCGGCGTGTGTCGCACGACTTCGAGCACGGCGTGAGTCGCCGCAGCAAGGTTTTCTTGAAAATGTCTCACCGATCTCCACCCATGACGACGCTCGACTGCGGTGAACGGAAGGTGACTTTGTCGAGGACCTGCAAGAGAGAGGACCACATCTGGCTTTCCGCCAGGAGACATACCAGATTTGGAAGGTCTACATAACTTAGGAAATTCGACCAAGTTCATAGGAGACATGAAATCATAGAAAACTTGCACGCGGTCATGCTTGCTTGCATGTGGACTATCTCCTACGTAGTGGAAAGGGGTACATGGGAAAGTGGACAACCATCTATTCCTCTGACCGCAGCCGTGCTGCAGGGTTCGTCACCTTGACGCCAAGTGCCTTTGCCCTAGGGCGATGTCGGCATCCAACGGCGCAAATCGCGAAAACAGACTCACCTCTCAAGGATCACAGCACGGTTTCGACTGCTAACGTTGTGCGCAATTTCTGCAGCATAACTTTTGTTGTGCATGAGAAGGATATCAACCTCCTTCACGTTGCTGACAAGGAACTTCTTGAGGCCATTGGGCATTAGATGGCGGGTCTACGGAGAGGAACAAGTGTGCAGCAGAGTCCGAGATGTTTGTCTAGGATGTCGTACCTTCTTGTTGCTGCCATAACCGATCTTAGGCATGGGGAGCTGGCCCTTGAACCTGCGCCTCACTCTGTTATCGATACCCTTTGGTTTCCGCCATGCCTCCTTCACGCCATGATACCGATCAGACTGGTGGCGCCTGTGCGGGTAATGGATGAGTGTGTATCTGACGGTGCGTGCCAGGTGACGAACTTGAATGGCTTCGTGCGTTTCTTAACAATGGGAATCTTGATGGCCATGGCGGTCTGCGAGGGTTGTCAGTATTTGGCCCAACGATAAGTCCCATGGCATGAGGGGACGTAGCGGGAGCCATCGATGGCACTACATCCTGGCCCTCGGCAGTCCATCCAGCCTGTTTTGATGACAATGTCTCCCGCAAACCGGACGGACGTGGGCAGTTGCAGTCTTGATCGATGGTAGCATGAAAAACTGGCCGGCATACTCACAGTTTTTTGAGGTTTCGGGACGTCGATGGCCAGGCGTGCTCTCTCTTCTGGCTGGGAGAAGGAAAAGACAAACAAGTGTCAACATGGTGTGTGTGGCTGTGCTGTGGTCTACTTTTTTTTTGGGCTCTGCATCCGCTGCCTGGTAGAGAACTGCATCTGAGAGCGAGGCAATCCCGGGGTATGCGATGAACAACAGTCTTCTTGCTGGATTACCCGTGTCACACTGTCATCATGTCGCCGTCTGATGTGGACTTCCAGTGCCATCTTTGCTGTGATCCAACAAGCACGTTCCACACTGCATTGAAGGCGTGCACTGGGTTGAGTTTCAGAACGTGATACTACACTTCATATCAGCGACAGGAATGAGCGTGAGACTGCGTGTCCGAAAACGAAAAACCACCACCATCGCATCTCTTTGGCTGTCTGCTGCCAGGTTTGTCTTCGACTGCCCCCCCAGTGTGCCAGTTTTCTACACTCAAACCTTCATGCTGGCCGAGTCTGCTTTCGATCGGACTTTTGATGACGATGACTGGCTTGCCCCCAGTCCGTCCAAATTGCACAGGACAGCAAGCGTCGGCAACAGCTGGGGTGTCACCTACGTAGGGCGTGGGTTCGATTGGAGTACGAAGGACGGTGATCATGCAGGGGATCTCCCCAGCTTAGATCCCCATGCGCTACCCGACGAGTCGCTGGTGAACAGCGAACCCGTTAGCTCTTCCAGCTCAACTCAAAGATCTCCAGTAGCCTCGCCCGTGTTGATCGTACCCCCGTCCTCTGAATTGGCAGTTCACACCGACCTCGAACCACTGACGGTGGACCCTCTATCGTCGGCGCCAGGGTTCTTCGCGACTTCTCCAGTGGCAGGCTCACCAACTTCCTTTCAGGCCACTTCCCCTGTCAGATCTCACAGCCCATTGTCTACCCTTCAGTCGAATGCGTCTGACGTGCGCCGCCCTTCTCTCCCACGATCTCCCACTCTCCCGCGCCCTCGACGGCGATCTTCGCAGCAGCGCGTGTCTCTCATAGCCGGGCGGGTTTCCATTGCACCCATCGAACCACACCCTTCTCTTCCAATGCCTCAGATACTACGTCGTGTGGGAAGCTCCACAAATTTACTCTCATCTGTCGCCAGTACACGGGCTCCATCGCCGGTGCATGATATAGTTCCAAGTGCGAAGACGATATCAGACTTCTTCATCGTTGGAGACCTAGGCCGAGGTGCATATGGGCTTGTCAAACGAGCGCAGGAATACAACTCAGACGGAACGCTTGGGGTGAGGATCGG